CCCTACATCAGTGCATGTTTTTACATGTAACATAAATGCATTTGCTGGGTACTTGTGTGATTGGTGCATGGAGAAGCCTGTGTATGCTGACATTTAGCTGTGGGCCTTCCTTTGTGAGTGTGTGTTCATCTTTCTCTCTCTCTCTCTCTCTCTCTCTACTTGCCTCTTTCCCAGCACCCTCACAAAATGGTATTCACGAGTGGTATTCCAGATGCCTCATCAGGAGATTGTGGATAGTCTGAAGCTGTGCCTGGTGGGCTCCTTGAAAAAGTTCTATGAGGTGAGGAGAACAACAGTTCTAAAGTATCAGGGTTTTAAAGGACTGCCTTCCTGATCACTTTAAGAGGAAGTCTGATTTAGTGAGAGGGATCCCAACTCGAAGGTGAGTTTCTTAAACAGACTGACAGGCAGCTCAGAAGGACTGTTTTCAGGCTTCTACTTGTACAGAGCAGCTTAAAGAGCTCAGTGCTTTGATTTGATTTGGTAAGTAATGATTATTTCCCTGGTTGTCAGCCTGATGCCTGTGTGCATAATCTTCAGGCCCTAATCAGGTAAGTCAGGGTAAATTTTAGTAATTAAAGCAGCTTATTAATTTTCTCAGCTTTTTATGGCTGTTATTAGGCGCTGGTTCTTTTCATTTAAGTTCAAGACCAGTGCCTCCCTGAAAATCACCCCTAGAACTCCAAAGAATGCTAACCATGGAGAATTGCTGTCATTAAGCTGATATTGGGTCTGGAACAATGAGCAAGTAAGGTACTGGGTTTTGCCTTGGCCAGTACATCAAAGGAAGCACTGATAGGTGGCTTTCATTTCTTAGGGTTCAGTGTTAGCCCTTTGCATAGAGATTAAACAGCAAGAAATTTAATGATTTCGCATGATTAAAGTCAATCTCTAGAACTCCACCTTGTTTCATTTTAGAATAACGTTTCCTATAGTGTCCTTCCAGTGGTTTGGTACTGTTTCAGTATTAGAGATTATGTAAACCAGAAGTTAAATTTTTGTCCCTCTAGAGGTCCATGTGATATGCTACTGTGTTATGAAGCCCCACTCACACCTTCCTTCTTCTTGTTGCTATTGTTTGCCTGCAAAGTTGTGTATGTCGTTTCAGCCCTAGCTCAAAGATTAGTTCTGTGAAACCTTTCTCATTTCCCCTCCTCTGCTCCATCCCTTAGCTAGACTTATTTCTTTATAGTCCTCTCCCAAGGCCCTCTGTTAACATTCTGTGTAGTGATTATCACATCCTGCCTTTTATTAGTTGTTTGTATCCTTATTTATCTCTCCCTCTGGGTTGTAAATTACTTGAACACTGTTTGGTTATGGATGGTTCTGTAGTAAATTACCCTAAAACTTAGTGACATGCAGTGAGCATTTATGATGTTCGCTGTCAGGAAGTTGGACAGGGCACAGTGGGCTCCAGTTCCTCTCCATTTGGGCCCCTTCATGTGGTCTTTTCACATGAGCTAGTTTGGGCTTCCTCACAGCATGGTGGCTGGATTCAGAGCTTGAGCATTCGAAGAGATTGAGAGAGCCAGGTAGAAAACGTGTTGCCTTGTATACCTTAGTCTTGAAAGCCATGTAGCGTCACTTCCACTGCATTCTGTAAGCCAAGTAGTAGTATCATTGTGAATATGCCTGGCTTTTGGAGGAGCCAGTGTGAGGTAGAGGTGGACTTAAAGAAACAACTGATATGCTCTATAAGGCCATTACATATATTCTGATATTTCTGTACTAATTACTCTTTCCTCCCTTCATCTATTATAAGGCACTGTTTGTACCTTACAATAAACTTGTGCAAAACTCTTTAGCATAGAAGTTAGCTGGTGGTTAGGTAGTCCTGTTCTTCCTCAGGCCAGTAATTTTTCCATTTATATTACATCCTGAGGAGGCTTTAACCCAATTTCCCAATATATTTGCTTATCAATATTGGTATTATCATAAGACTTATATACATGGTATAGTTGAATCTTACCAACAAGGTTAGTTGAATCTTAGCAACAAGGTCACCCTACATCATGATGCAGGGTGGTAGTAGACATAACCTGAAAAATAAGAGTCAGCAGTGGCACATTACTAGAGACCCACGCAGGCATGAATAATTAGTTCAGTTCATCATTATATTGTAAGACCAAAATATCTCCCAGAGCCATGCCACTTAAGTTTGCAGGCTTCCGTTCAACATTGTCAGGTTCTGAAAGCAGCAGTTCATTCGCCGTTTCAGACATTGGTATACTTGAGCTAACAGACAATGTCACCTCTTGCTCTGAGTGTCTTTTAAGGCACCAATGTAATATTGTATTTTCCTCATTGCACAACCATTTATTCATTCCTTTATCCTCAACTACCATTCTTCCTTTGCTGTATTTATACCCAAACTTTTCCACCTTTAAATGGAACATTAGGTTTAGCCACTGTGCTGGGCTAGGATGCTGCCAGCAATACTAGTCTAGCAATTGCCTCCCCCTCAGTCCACTGCCATTCACATAGGGTAGGATTACATAGGTCAGAACGAGTGGGCTATCTCACCTCCTAGGCAATATAGATGCGTGCCCTGTGAACCTCAATTTTGCCTGAGGGGGTGAAGGCACAGTCCACCCCGTTAGGCCCTTAGAAACTCTAATTACAGTTTCTTGCTTAGGGACTGTTATGGGTTGAATTGTGCCCCCTTAAAAAGATATTGAAGTCCTGGGCTTCCCTGGTGGCGCAGTGGTTGAGAGTCTGCCTGCCGATGCAGGGGACACGGGTTCATGCCCCGGTCCTGGAAGATCCCACATGCTGCAGAGCGGCTAGGCCTGTGAGCCATGGCTGCTGAGCCTACGCGTCTGGAGCCTGTGCTCCACAACGGGAGAGGCCACAACAGACAGCAGAACCCCAGACAAGTCGAACACCCCCAGCCTGCCCCCTCGCTCTTCTCCACGACAGCTTCCCTCTTTGGCTCTGCAAAGCGGCTTCCTCCTCTCTGAAACCGTGCTGGGAAACACGTTGCTGACACACCACAGGCCGTACGTGCTGCATTTTAGGAGCTCAGAGACGGGTTTACTTTTCTCAGTCCCAGTTTTAAAAGCCTGCCCAGGGAAGGCTTCCTGCTGCGCATTCCCCAGGCAGCCCCAGAAAGGTCCAGATGGATGAGGGGAGGGACAGCTCCCAGTGCAGCGAGGCCGCGGGGCGCTCCTAAGCGCGCTGGAACTTCTTCTAAGAGGTCTTTACATGCAGCGAAGATGATATGAGGGCAAAGTAGAGCTCTTCCTCTGAATCAGCGCCTGCCTTCTTCTCTAGCAGGTTTCCTCCATTGGCTTTTCTTCTCAAGCTCAGTAAGACTCCAGGAAAAAAAAGGAAATCTCCCAACTTCCTGATACTTTTCTACACTTGGAGCAGAACTCTGTATGATACTCATTTCTGAATGGGTCTTGCTTGTTGTATTATTTGTTTGGTCTAAATTCCAACTGTTGATGCCTAAATTAGTTAGAGGAATCTCATTCTTGGTCCTAACCACGGGTTTCTGTTTTTAAGTTTCAACTTAGAAAATCCTGTCATTTGACTCATGTAGTTGAAATGTTGCGGCTATGTATCAAACTCTGAAACAGAGTTTTAGGAAATACAAACCACTTTACATTCTGTTTGTTGCAACAGATAAAGAAGATGTGCCACATATATACAATGGAATATTACTCAGCCATAAAGAGATGAAATTGAGTTATTTGTAGTGAGGTGGATGGACCCAGAGTCTGTCATACAGAGTGAAGTAAGTCAGAAAGAGAAAAACAAATTCCATATGGTAATGCATATCTATGGAATCTAAAAAAAAAAAAAAAAAAAAAAGATCTTGAAGTCCTAACCCCAGTACCAGTGAAGGTAACCTTTTTTGCAAAGAGTATCTTGGCCGATAATCAAGTTAAGATGAGGTCATTAGAGTGGGCGCTAATCCAGTATTCCTGTGTTCTTATGAAAAGAGGAGATTTGGACCCAGAGACAGACACACATAGAGGAAAGGCAATGTGAAGACACAGGGAGAGCACCATCTACAAGCCAAGGAACACATGAGGCCACCAGGAGTTATAGAATGATAGATTCTCTGTCACAGCCCTCAGAAGGAAACAACCTTGCCAACACTTTGACTTCAAACTTTAGACTCCAGCATGGTGGAACAGTACACTTCAGTTAGTGGTACTTTGTTATGGCAGCTCTAGCAAATGAATGCATGGTTCATCCCAGCTTCTAGCACCCAAAGTTGCAGTCCTGGTCCGAGAACCACTGCATCAGGTAGTAAAAAAGAGGGTTAACGTCATGTGGAGGAAAACAAAAAAAATGTATTGTCATAGCAGCATCCTTCCCCACCCCTTGTTCTTTAGATCCCCCAGAAAAGGAGAGGAGTTTATCTAGTGGGGACATTCCCTTGGCCCCTGTCATGTTGAATATGAGTACACACTCATAAAATCATGTAAGCTAGCCCTTCACACCTTTATTCCCTTCATTTTAAACAATAAATGTTTCAGTTGCTCATTCTAATTTTCTGTCAAACTGTTACTCTGGGGATGAAAGTGTGTTCCTTGGTCTGAGGAAATGTGACTTGGCAGTCCAGATTGGTATAGTGTCTTCTGTTTTAGTTCTTTTATAGTATTTTGAGAATTTGTATCTACCAGCAGATATGCAAAACCCAGTCCAGAATAGGTGTCTGTTTCTGTCAGGAACAATTTGTAATCTCCTGGAGCTGCAGAGTCAGCCCAATTTGCCACTGTGTGTGGGGCCTTCCCCTCAGGGAATCTGCCCCCAGAGCCATCTGCATTCTCTGTCCTCTTGGCAGACAGAACAGTTTATTGGAATTTTGCACTTCAGAGGGTATGAGAAAAGTATGTCTAGATTTAGCCCATTTCTTCATTGCTTCAGCCCTCAGTGTCCACTCATTTCATGGACCCAGGTACCGCTCGAGTAGGCACACCAAGATATCTGCTTGCTGGTAACTACTTTCTGATCCTGGAAGGAGGTAGTTACTCCTCATTCACCCTTCCCCCCTACTTCCTGGTAACGTCTAATCTGCTTTCTGTCTCTGTGGATTTGTGTATATTATATAGAGATAATCATAAAATACATGATCTTTTGTGTTTGCCTTCTTTTATTGATCGTGTTTATAAGGTTCATCTAAATTGTAGACTATATTATTACTTTGTTCTTTTTTATGGATGAATCATGTTCTATTGTATGTCTATCCATTCATCACTGATGGCCATTTGTACTGTTCCCACCTTTTGACTATTGTGAATAATACAGGCTGTGAACATGCCTGTA